GTCGACCTCAGGGTGGCAGTTCCTCATCGAAGTCCGGCTCCACGTCTGCAGCAGCTTAATCGGGACCGCCAGTCCCCGTGACCTGTGGGCGAGGAACTGTTTGTACACGGACAGTTCCATGTCAGGGTAGCGGGCATGCCGTCCGCCACCAGCAAGCCGCAAACGACTGCCAGCCGCTGCTGCCATCTCATCAGCCACCTTCATCCAGCGGCGGATGCTAACCGGTTGAACGCCAGCCAGCCGTGCAGTTTCGCGCACAGTGAGGATGTCCTCCTTCATCTTCACAAGCCAGCCAGTCTTCTCCGCCATGGTGCGAGCATGTCGCTTGTGTTGGTTAATCCTGTTGCGGGTATTCGGGGTTACGGCATCACGCGTGACAGCGGCAGGGTCGACATCGCGCAACACATCATTGGGGAACTGGGGGAGAGGAAAGGGATGGTTATCACCGGTCGTTTCGGCACCGTCACTCCCCTCGTCATCGGTTGAAGTCGCGTCAGGCTCCTGCTGCCCAACAACCTCCTCTTCGACGTCCACAGGTTTGAAGGGGTAAGGGAAAGGGGGCACGGGAGGCGTAGGAGGAGCAGGAGGTGCGGGAGGAGCAGGCGGAGAAGGCGGTGCCGGAGGAGCCGGCGGGGCTGGTGGAGCGGGGGGTGCGTTCACCATGGCAGCAAGACCGCGGGCTGCACTAACAGCCCGCATCCTCATGAGCATGTCGAGGGCCGACATGACGTCGCGTGTAGGGGACGGAGCACTCTAAGCTACTGGCAGGGAGCATGATGGCTGAGAGAAACGGGGGGAGGTTTTGAAGCTAGGAAAAAAAACGAAAATGAGCCTCATCGACTCGGACTACCCCCCTCAGAAGCCGGGGAGGAGAGGGACGTGAAAGGGGTGAGCTCACGTTCTCCGTGGCGCATGCTATCCAGCAGTGCACGGTGGAATCTTCTCGAACCCATCACCCCACCAGATGCACCGAATCTGATGAGGTAATGGATGTGTGGCCACGACACCAATCAAGAGGAGTGGCGCGGCGCCAGCACTGGCCGGATTTGCCGCCGTCGTGCGTGAATGCGTGACGCGTGGCATGGGTCGTGGTGCACGAAAGTGGCAACAGCAGTTTCCCGCTTACAGGCAAACTCGAATTCGAAGGTGTAAAATTTCAGAATTCCCTGTACACTACCCTAAATTCGAAGTCTGTGTGACTTATAGATGTCCAGGGGTCTTAACCACTTCATGCCATCACATAAGACCCCACAAGCCAGTTTTAGCACATTTAGGATAAGACCCCCGGGTCTTCTAGGCGGGAGCTCACGGTATTCATATGTTCTTAGTTCTGCTAGGCTACAGTGAGGTGCGCAATATAGAGTACAACCCCAGTTAGGGTTTCATACTTGTATCTCCCTGTTGCAAGTCATTCATCATTCCTGACTTCCTATTTTAGCACTCACGCGCGCTCGCACGCGGTCTCTCACGCGCGCACTCTCGCGCGCACTCTCACGCGCACTCTCACGCGCTCTCTCACGCGCTCCCTCGCGCGCGCTCTTACGTGCGCACTCTCACGTGCACTCTCACGCGCACTTTCACGCGCTCTTTCACATGCCCTCTCATGCGGCCTCTCACGCGGCCTCTCACGCGGCCTCTCACACGCACTCTGACGCGCACCCTCACGCGCACTCTCACGCTCTCTCCCACGCGCTCTTATACGCGCACTTTCACGCGCACTCTCACGCACGCGCTCTCTCACGCTCTCCCTCATACGTTTCTCATACGCTCTCTCACGCGCTCTCTCACGCGCTCTCACGCGCACTCTCACGCGCTCTCATGCGCACTCTCACGCGCTCTCTCACTCGCACTTTCACAAGCTCTCTCACACCCACTCGCGCGTTCTCTCACGCTCTCTCACGCACACTCTCACGCACTCTCTCACGCGCTTACGCCTCACGTGCTCTCTGCCCTCTCACGCGGCCTCTCACGTGGCCTCTCACGCGCACTCTCACGCGCTCTCTCACGCGCACACGCACTCTCACACGCTCTCTCACGTGTGAAAATAGTAGGTAGAGTTAGGAGCCATAGCTAGGTAAGTCCTAGCTAGGCAAGAGAAGTTTAGGCAAAAGAAGAAGAGGGGGTTCACTAGAAAGCAGCAGGATACATATAGGAAACCCTAAGGGGTTGTACTCGCTATAGAGTACCCTACTGCAGGCTAGAGAACAATGACATTCTGACACACCCCCATAGCCAAAGTGGGGTGTAATCAGCAGAGCAAGCAAAGCAGAACAAGCTCAGGGTGGATCACAATGTCACCACACATTCTGAGCACAAGTACAAGAAGCAATAGTTTAAAGTTCACAATTATGAGCAAAGCTAGAGGCTATCGCAGAGGGCAAGTGAGGAGGAGGAGGCGAGAGTGAGAGGAGAGGAGATAGGAGGCGACGGCTGAAGCTGCAGACACACGGGCAACAGGAGTCACACTGGCACAGCGGCTACCGGAACAACGCTCCGGACTACTGGAGTAACTGGCTCCGCGGCTAAAAGTAGCGGCAGACGAGCAACGGACCCACGGGCGACTGGCACAGCTGGCTGCGACTGGGCTACCGGAGCAACTCCCCGGACTACAGGTGCTGCTGGCGACACGATGGCAACCTCAGTTCAACCTCCCCAAACAGTCCCACTCCCCCTGACACACACCCCCTGCTTCACCCCTAGCTCCACTCCCCCTTCACCCCCCTTAGTACCACTCCGACGGCTCCAACAGGTCCACCCCCCTCAGCGGCAGCTGCAGCACTGGGAGACGGAGGAGGAGGAGGAGCAGGGGACGGCACACAGAAGCTGCACCCCCAGACCCCCCACCCCCAAACCCTAATTCAGGAGAACGGGCAGCAGCAGGGGTGGGGCGCCATCAGAAGCACGGGCGACAGCGGGCAGCGCAGGGGCAGCGAAGAACGGGCCGCCCACGGACCTGGCACAGCCGCCCGAACCGCGCGCAGGCGGCCCGAGCCGCGCGCGGGCTTGGCGCAGCCCGTACGGGCCGCGCGCGGGCCTGGCGCAGCCCGTACGGGCCGCGCGCGGGCCTGGCGCAGCCCGTACGGGCCGCGCGCAGGCTGTACGAGCCGCGCGCAGGCCACGACGGGCGACGGGGGGCGACGCGCGGGTCCCCGTCGCCCGTCGCAGCGCCTCCCGGGAGCGACGCGCGGAGTGACGGGGCAGAAACCCGCCGCGCGCCTCGGGGCGCACGGCGGGCAGACAACCGCCGCGCGCCTCGGGGCGCACGGCGGGCAGAAAACCGCCGCGCGCCTCGGGGCGCACGGCGGGCAGAAAACCGCCGCACGCTCCGAGCGCGCGGCGGGATGAAAAAATCCGTCGCACGCCACGGGGCGTGCGACACAGAGAGTAGCAGTAGCAGCGGAAGCAGTGAGGTGGTGAGCCCACCCACAGGATCTACCCAAGGGGATCGACCTGCTCTGATAGCATGTCATAATAGATTAGGAGGTAGATAAGTTTAGAATGAAGAAGAAGAGGGGGGTCACTAGAAAGCAGCAGGATACATATAGGAAACCCTAAGGGGTTGTACTCGCTATAGAGTACCCCACTGCAGGCTAGAGAACAATGACATTCTGACATCACGCGCTCTCTCACGCGCTCCTATTTTAACATACCACAGTGACCCCCCACGTAGTCCAGTCCGCGCCAGCAACTGAACATGTTATTCAGATTGTCGCTCAGAAATGTGCGACACCGTTGCAACAATTCGGCAATAAAAATTTTGATTGCAAACCTGTCACATTCGATAAAGCGGCCAGCAAATTGGCCATTGGATGTGTCAGATTTTCAATCCCAATATTGAAGGCCGTAGATCTGTAGACAATTTGTTGCCCAATCAATCGATGTTCGTGAAACAATTTGACTACCATATGGTCAACAATTACCAGGCCAAAATACATTTTAGAGGATCTCACCTGTCCTAAGGGTTTTGAAAAATCAGGGAATTTAAAATTCTCCTTAGAGGTAGGCATCCCCGACTTACGACCAAGTGAAACGCCTTCTGTGCAACTAGTTTCATGTCTATGGAGTTCCGTTTTATTACGGGTGCTGTTGGAAGCACCTCAGCCTGGTCAGCGGGAAGTGAACCTAGATGATCCTTACGGGATCTTCGGTAAGCTGATTTGCAACCCGGCTCTCTGATTAGCTGATTCTTCTTTGGAAAATCAGGATAAGGCTCATCATCCACTAGCAGCCCCTCGTCCACTCGTGTGACCGCCAGCTCCATTCCACAAACTTGTCATGTTGCTCGTTCGTGGGCAAGTACCACACCCACAGAACAGACCCCATCCACCCATGGAAACATTCACACAAAGAGCAGGGCACTGAATTGAATGTGCCTTTGACGGGAGATGAGGAGTGTTGCGTGCTGGGTGCGTGTGTGGCCATTCCACCACACAGCTGAGGTGAAGGCCAGGCCAGCCATTGGCTGAGGAAAGGAATGCACTGTACAGTACAAACGTATTGTTCTGTGAATTCGCTCCCACCCACTATCCAACCAATGCAAGGAAAACAAGAGGCTAGCGGCTGGAGGGTGTGGGGGGGGGGGAGGAGGACCCGGGAGGAAGCGTCGGACGAAACCCTAACTCTATTCGAGCAGCCAATGGGAGGCCCGAAGTGAAGGCCAACGAGACAAGCTTTGCTTCTAGGCTTCTCGAGCTTCAAGTATCTTCCTCCTCAACAGGGCTGACATGGCCGACGATTGCGTTCATCGTTGAACTCCAGCGTCGACGATTCAGACTCACCATTTTGTAAGTAGGCATGATATTTCAGAACTAAGATACGGAGAGTGGTTCCTAGCTGCTGCATAGCGTGAAATTGATTCACGACCGACTTCCTGACTGGATGGAACCATTGTTGTTCGGCCAGGCGCAACGCTTTCACGTCTCATAGCAGCAACCAGAGATATCTAAGGTCCTGTCGTTAACATGGAGACTTGTTTCTCCCCACAGCTTCGTCCTAGCAGTATGTACCGCCATACCGCTTTGCACCACGCATCATGCGGGAAGCTTTCGCTGCCCCGCGCCCACGTAGGCAGGCCCTTAGTACCACCACACATACCACTGGCCCACTCATTCCAAGCTCGCTCACGGGTGGCCCTCAATGTTTCCGCCGCCGCTGCCGCCAGCACACCGGATCCTGCGGGATTTACGCCGCTGAACGCCGGGGCACGCATTCCTCGTAGGGTTGGCGAGGTTGGTTCGGCGTGTCAGAACCTGATACGGCAGCAGCAGAAGCGGGCCCTGCGCAGCGAGGCTCATGCAGTTGCCGCACCTGACCAGTACGGCGTGGCGGATTCACCCGTGGATTGCGCGTCGTGCGACGTGCCCGACGACGCAGACGTCGAGTTGCTGCAGTGCTTTCCAGATTTCGTCCTCGACCCGTCTGAGAGCGACGGGTCAACCCGGCTATTTCGGAAGAGCTTCTCCCTGCATGATGCTTCTCCCGCGAGCCGTTACTTTCCCGGAGGCACAGATTGCAGCGAAGGGTACGTCTCGATGCCCGATGCGACGTCGTCGTCATCGCCGTCCGCGTCGCGCTTCTCCCTGTCTTCCGAGGCCGCAAGGCCCCCCTATTCGTCGATGTCCCCTCGGGACGCCATGCCGCTGCACGCGTCGCCAGATTCTTCGGTGACTGATACCAGTCTCGTGCAGCCGTCCTCATCCCCCCGTGACCCATCTCGACCGCAGCCACCGCCTGTGCGCGTGGACGAGTTGAAGCAGGGAGCCATCCGCGCGATCATCCGCGCGGAGGAGAATTACCGCCAGGCGTTCCACGCGCTGCAGGAGGCGCAGGCGCGGCTGGAGAGCACGCGGATGATGGCCGCGGAGCTCAACGCCATTCCGCCGCTGTCGCTTCCACCGTCGCCGCACTCGTCGCCCGCCCACTCGCCGCCCGCGTCGCCGTTGCGGTCGGCGTCGGCGTCGCCCTCGCTGTCGCGGTCGCCCAGCGCGTCGCGACTGGACACCGTCGACGCGACGCTGCTAGATTTAGACGTACACGTGGACGCGAATGGGTTTGGAGTGGAAGGCGCGGGGTTGGAAGGTGGTCTGGTGGGCGGCATGGAGCGAGCGGCGGAGCCGGAGGTGGTGGTGGCGATGATGGACTCGCTGGCGGCGCAGAGAGAGCGCTCGCGGGAGTCGCTGCGGATGGCGGAGCAGGTGCTGCGCGACCGCCTCGGTGAAGCGTACGTGCAGGTCAGTCGTTGTCCTGCGTCCGCCCTTGCCCCCTCCGCCGTTCCCACACCCGCGCTTCCCCCATCTCCCCCCACCCCCCCACCCCGCCCACCCCCCTTTCTCTCCCATGCTCTTCTCTGTGCCCTTTCCGGCCCCGTATCGTGCTGCACTGCTCTCTTTACCCGAAATTCTCACCCGCCCACGCGTCGCCTTCTACCGTCTTCCGCCCGGTATCCCCTCACGCCCGTTTTCCCTCCCGCCCGTTTCCCCTCCCGCCCGTTTCCCCTCCCGCCCGTTTCCCCTCCCGCCCGTTTTCCCCTCCCGCCCGTTTTCCCCTCCCGCCCGTTTTCCCCTCCCTCCCGTTTCTCCTCCCGTCGTGCGTGCGACGCAGAGCCAAGTGATCGACCACCACATAGAGATGATGGACTGCGGTGGCCAGTACCACGTCGCGCACTGGCTCGTCGACAAGGTGCAAGAAATCGCCTCCGCCTCCTCTCGCGCCGACTGGAGCACCGCCAACGCCGCGTGCAACGGCTCCATCGGCTGCGCACCGGTCGGCGCCGGCGCCGTTGACGGCGGTGCGGCGGCGGCGGCGCCGCTCGCCGTGCCTGTGAACCTGGACCTGGCGGCGCAGGGATACGACGACCACGCGGTGCGGTTCCTGCAGCACCTGCCGTACGATCGAGTGCTCAAGATCCGCACCATCGCATCCGACCCGCCCGTTGCGCTTCTGCCGTCGCCAGATACGCCCGACGCAGCGGACAGCAGGGAAACGGTTACGGGGACGGCGAATTCGTCGTCCACGTCGCCTGGCGAAAGCTCCGCCAGCTCGGCGAAAATATCCGCCGTTGATGCAGGGTCGGTGTCCCCGGTATCAGCGGGCGCGCAGCAGGGAGCAGCGGAAGCCATGCCGTTGCGGAGTGCCGTGCAAAGCGGCCAGCAGCTCACGTTTCAGGCGCCCTGGGCTAATCTCCTGCCAGGAACCGTTGGCTGGTCACCGCCCGGGCTCCTCCCAGCGCCTCCGCCACCCGCTGCTGGTAACGAGAGCCAGCCCCGCGAGACCAGGAGTCGGCGCGCGCGGGTTTCCAAGCGCACTGCGCCTGCTACGCCCCCCCCGGATACCGCGGACGGCGGAGAGTCTTCCGCGGAGCCGGTGTGGCTACCCGCGTCGAGCTTCGAGCTCGCGGAAGCAGCAGCTGCGGCGCTAAGTCAGACAGGCGCGGGGTTAGCGGGGAGGGGGCCGGTGGTGGGGCAGTGGAAGCAGTGGGACCCGCTGGACCTAGCGTCGTCGTCGGCGTTCGTGAAGGAGTTTGGCGACGACGATGACGACGCGTACGACGCGCGGCTCGTGGACATGGCGATGGCGGCCGCGGCGGACCGCGGGCAGGAGGAGAAGGAGCGGCAGGCGTGGATGCGCATGGAGCTGCTGCTGGTGTGCTGCGCCGCGCTGTACATGGCGTGGCACTGCGACGCCGTGTCGCTCGCGAAAGACGTGTACGTGCTCGCGCTCGGCTCGGGATTCGCGTTTCTCGCGGCGCAGTTCGTAGGGCTGCTGCCACAGCGGCGCCGCTCGCAACTGGGGGTTGCGGGGCTGGAGGGGACCGAGGGAATCCAGGGAATTCGCTGCCCGCTGCTCGTGCACATGGCTGCGACTAGTGCGGGGCTGGGTTCTTCTGCTGATACGCTGCTTGCTGCTGGTAGTGGGGTGACGGCGTCCGCTGCAGGGGGTGGGGCGGGGGAGGTGTGGCGGGAGACAGGAGAAGGGGTGGTGCAGGAGGAGGCGCAGCAGCAGCAACTGGACGCCAAACGCCATCGAACATGGGAAGCGGTGAGTTTCGACTGGAGTGTACTCTGAGTGCCCTGTGTACCTTGAGTGAGTGCCCTGTGTACCTTGAGTGCCCTGTGTGTGTTGTATTCCCCTCCCTGAACAATCTTCCCTGCAGCTCCCTGACACAGGGTCTCCACTTTTTCTGACCATAGCTGGCTTTGGCCCCCCCACCCACTGCTGTGCAGGCAATTGAGGTGATCGGCCTGGTGTCCGCCCTGCTCGCCCTCTCAACCGTGCTGGCGCTCCTCATCAAGTCCTTCCACCTCCTCCTTTCCTTCCTCACCTCCTCGCTCTCACACGGAGTGACACGGGGCGTGCAAGTGCTGCTCACATGGTTCTCTGCGTCGCAGCTCTCAGCCATCGCTGCGTGGCCGGCGGCTGGCTGGATGTCAACAACTGCAGCACTTCCTTCCAGTATTCTCACTAGTGATTTCGCCCTGCGAGGGGCGGTTCTGCCCCTGTCCCTCTCACTGACTTCGGCTGTTGCTCTTACTCTGCTGCTGCTGTTTCGTCCAGCCAATGGCTCGTCTCAGCGTGCTTAAGATTGTTTCTTGCTGGCTTTTCTTACTGCCATCATGGTCTTGTGATTTGGGCATGACCGTGCCTGGCTGACCGTCCATGACCTGATGTTTGTTGCATCGGTGCATGTTTGTGATGGTGCGTCTCTGGTCTTGCCTTATTGCGCTCCAGCGTGAATTGTTAACAAAGACCTTCCCCAAATTGGGCAGTGCTTTGTTTATTCTTATTGTATTTCATGCATTGTTGAATCTATGCTACGGCAATTTCCCTGCAAAACCAACCCTAGGGTCCCAACAATTATCTAGTGTTGGAAATATAAAGCAACAGAAAAGTTATATGCTGTTAGGTTTTTGTGTGATCCCCTATATAAGCCTCCAGGCCTTGTTAGAATTGCTAGCTAGGTGAGGATGTCGATGAGGTAAGGGAGGGGGGATACAAGACTATCGAGAGTGAAATGTTGTACCCTCTAAGGAAAGAACCCTACACAACCTAGAGTGAAATGAACAGAACAATATATGTTTTGACAGGCCTTACAATAATTGTACAATTATAGTAGGGGCTGAATGGCTGGAGTCTAGAGTTTTGGGGGTAGAATTATTGGTACTCCTTTATTGGAGTTACCATTATTGGAGGTACAATTATTGGTGTGGATGGATGGATGTGGACAGGGTAGCTGATAGTAGCATAAATGCCCTGCTGTGTGGTTTCATAATCATCCCATTGTTCTAAATCCTTTCAGTTGCAAGTTTCTCTTACTATTTATTCTACAATCAAGGCTTCCGCTACGACGGCACTATGCCATTCTAGCATCTAGGAGCATACTTAGCAACAGAATTTGACAGTACCGTCATTACCCGGATATACCCCCAGGCCCCAGTTACACTAATGCATTTAAAATCGCATCAGCGGGCTTATACACTCCTTCTGATTATAACCCCACCCTATTTTGCGGCCATCTTTGGATAAGCCCACCCTTTTGGTCCATTTATAAGCCAACGCGGCAATTCAGTTACATTTCAATAATTTAACTATTTCTAAACATCTTCACAGCTATACTGGGGTGATACAACTACAGGATAGCTAGAATGCCCTACTCTAGTTAGTCATCGCCGCAACCTTGCTCTAGTAGGCGTTGCACTCAGCGGTGGGGTCATCCAGGTCCACATCTACCTCGTCTTCCTCCCCATCCGACTCAGGCTCCTCCACGTTGTTACCAAACAAGCCGTCCGCCGCCACTTCTCGTCGACATCGACAGACACTGGTTCGCCGTTCCGGCGGTGCGCCATGCACAGCTCATCCTGGGAGCGATCGAGCGCGTTGCTGATGCCACAAGTCAGGAACGCCTTCTGGATGAGAGCTGCAGGCACTGCTCTCCATGCCATAGCGATCCACCTGAGCATCTGCTCAGGTGGCGGCTTCTTCAGGTTGCCTGCACGGAGACGGAATACGTAGGCTGGTTAGAATCTACGGTAAGACAGAAGACAAGGAACAACTGGGCACGGGCGGTACGTACCTTTGGCGGTGAGACAGTCGACGCCTTCGATTTCAAACCACGTCTGGTACTGCTGTGGCACCGATGCTTTGAAGGCGTGGTTCACAGACACGTCAAGTGGCTGCACCCCCGAAGTGCAACCAGCTGGGATTACGCCTGGGACAATGTCAAGCTTGGCGTACTTGGCCTTGACATTAGGGGTGAGGTGACCGCGGTACGAGTCGAGGATGAGGAGTGTCTTCCGGGCACGACGACCGAAGGCCGGCCTGGTGTACGGCCTCACTGCTTCGTCAAGCCACCTCAGGACGCCCTCAGCGTCCATCCACCCGTTTGTTTGAGCGGCGACAACCACATCGGCCGACGGGATGGGGCATGGCAAACGAAGCTGCGTTAGTTGCAAGATTAATAAGCAGTGCAAAGCAAGACCGTTCATTAAAAGCTCACCAAAGGAAAGTCACCGCGAGGCGGTCGCTTTCTCTTGAAAAAAAAACCAGGGCTTCAACTTCTCACCGGAAGCCGTGCACGCCAACATCACCGTCACTCTTTCCTTCTGGTAACCGGCGCTCCGGATCGGCACGGACCTCGCACCGACCTCCTCAACCGTCGTTTCGGATGGCATCTCGAGCCACAATGGTGCCTGGTCCGCGTTAATGATGAAGCACGGCTCGATGTCGTAGATGCGCCGTGAGTCATGGCTTAGGCTGCAGGACGGGAGGTGGAATCCAACCATTTCATCTATGAAATGAGGCGTTCTCTCCACACCCCCAAGACCCCTGCCACAAGGCGCCCCGGGTTCCTCATCGTGAACCTGAGGTGCATCGCACAGGTCCACGCAGAGGAACGAGGTGTCAAAGCGGGAGGCAAGGATGGAAGGGAATCTATGCATTCCCTTCCTATTCGACTGCCTCCTTGCAAACCCTGCCTTGTTGGCAGGGGAACCTTGAACCTGGACGTCCCTGCCGCTGCACCACCTCATTCCCACACCCGCTGGCTTCAGCATGCGCCGCGAAGTAAACGGATTGGCCAGACGTGGGCCGTCCTACCTGCGTTGGTACATATTTCGTGCATCATGCCCTGTTTCTCGCCCGTCAGCATTGCGCGCTCAGCACAGCAGCGCGCGCCAGCAAAACGCGCGCGACAAAGCGGCACGCATCTGCATAGCGCGCGCGCCAGCACAGCGAGTGCTAGTGACGCCTCGCGTTCGCCCAGCCGCAATCCCTGCTTCGCGCGCATATGATGACGCGCTCGCGCCTTCTCGTGCGCCCAGACGCATTCGCGCGGTCGCCGTCGCGCCGCCACATACCAGCCGCATTCCCCCTGTCGCAAGCCCCTTCGACATTCCCTTGCCGTATCCCCCCTCCGCATTCCCTCATGGAGCCTTCCCCCTGTCGCAACCCCCCTTCCGCATTCCCCCTGCCGCATACCCGATTCCGCAATCCCCCAGCCGCATTCCCCATGCCGCATTCCCCCTTCTGCATTCCCCCTTCTGTAATCCCCCTTCCGCATTCCCCTGCCTGCCTCATACTCACTCCCTCATGCTCCTTGCTTCATACTCACTCCCTCGTGCTCCTTGCCTCATACTCACTCCCTCGTGCTCCCTGCCTCGGTACTCACTCCCTCGTGCTCCCTGCCTCATACTCACTCCCTCGTGCTCCCTGCCTCATGCTCACTCCCTCGTGCTCCCTGCCTCATGCACACTCCCTTGTGCTCCCTGCCTCATACTCACTCCCTCGTGCTCCCTGCCTCATACTCACTCCCTCGAGCTTCCCGCCTCATACTCATTCCCTCGTGCTCACTGCCTCTGCTCCCTCCCTTTGCTCCCCATCAGGTGCGCGACGCCATTCACATGGGCCTAACGTCGGCATTGCCTCGTCTTCCCCCCTCCCCCACCTCGACGTCCCTCTCCTCCCTTCCTTTTCTCCCCATCAGGTGCGCGACGCCATTCACAGGGGCCTGGCGTCGGCATTGCCTCATCTGCACCCCTCCCCCATCTCCCCTTCCCTGTCCCAACTCTAGCCCCCTGCCTCATCTCTCCTCCCCTGTCCCATCTCCCCATCTCTCCATCTTTCCTTCCCCCCCCTGCATCCCCTCAGCACCCCCTCTCATTTCCGTCATTTCTCCCTCTGCTCCTCATTTCGGCCGCAGTTGATACCTCACTTCTCCCGAAGGCTACCCCTCATTTCCCCCTTAGTGAGCCCCATTTCCCTCTACGTTTCCCTTTCATTTTCCCTTATGCTTCCTCGCATATCCGCCCTTTCCGCCCCTCTGTTTATCATCTCCCCTCCCTTCCTCCGCCACAACCCAGCCTAAGGCACAACTCCCTCACACAAGGCGCCACGTCCGCCAAGGCAAAGAGGCCAAAATCAGCGAGACTGCACGAGGTGAGTCAGCCTGATTCCTCCATTCCCTGCCCCGCCATTCCACCCCTGCCCTTCCCCTTTTGCCCTGCCATTCCCCCACTGCCCCTCACTCCCCGATGCGCTCTTCCCCCCAGTCCCATTCCCTCCCTGCCCTGCCTTTCCCCCACTACCCTTCTCTCCCTCCCTACCCTTCTCTCATGAGTTTCCCCCCTGCTAGCCTCCCTTCCCCCTCATCATGCCATCTATTTCCCCCCTACCTAGCCCTCCCTTCCCCCTCATCATGCCATCAGTTTCCCCCTGCTAGCACTCCCTTCCCCTTCATCATGCCATAAGTTTCCCCCCTGCTAGCTTTCCCTTCCCCCTCATCATGCCATAAGTTTCCCCCCTGCTAGCCCTCCCTTCCCCCTCATCATGCCATCTGTTTCCCCCCTGCTAGCCCTCCCTTCCCCCTCATCATGCCATCTGTTTCCCCCCTGCTAGCCCTCCCTTCCCCCTCATCATGCCATAAGTTTCCCCCCTGCTAGCCCTCCCTTCCCCCTCATCATGCCATCTGTTTCCCCCCTGCTAGCCCTCCCTTCCCCCTCATCATGCCATCTGTTTCCCCCCTGCTAGCCCTCCCTTCCCCCTCATCATGCCATAAGTTACCCCCCTGCTAGCCCTCCTTTCCCCCTCATCATGCCATCAGTTTTCCTCCTGCTATCCCTCCCTTCCCCCTCATCATGCCACCAGTTTCCCCCCTGCTAGCCCCCTCTTCCCCGTCCATGGGCGGGCCTACCGTAATCAAAGGGGCTGGCCTGCCCTCTCCCATGCGGTTGGCTTCCCCCCATCCCATGGGCGGGCCCACCGAAATCAAAGGGGCTGGCCTGCCCTCTCCCATGCGGTTGGCTCCCCCCATCCCATGGCCATCAGTTTCCAACATGCTTGGCCTCCCTTCCCCTTGTGCACGGACATGTGGACATTTCGTAACGTTCGTGCAGGTATGTGGAATGGGTCGTCCGAAAAAACCTACGGTTACTACACGGAAGGCCAGGGTTTACGAGATTGTGAACAACAAGGACAACGAAAGTCTCGCGATAGCGAAGCATATGCAGCTACCGATATGCTACTTGCGGTGTAGACTGAGCGCCTTGATGGGAGAATGTCGGACAGCTACTTTGGGTGATTTGGTGTACTTCCTCCAGCATGCACTTCTGATGGCCGCGAGGAAGGACGGTGAGTAACTCAATACTTAGCCGCAACTGAAGCAACGTGGAGATATAATGACGCGATCATGTGCATGCTTTGAATTTTGACATAAGAAGCATGCATTGGCACCAAATTCGGTGCGTATCCTATGCGCTCAGGTGCGGACGGTGAGGAGGCGGAACAGGCCGTGCGCAGGTTTCAAGGAGGAAAGGATCGCACGGATGGCCGACCAGAGGCCTTAGTAGCTGGACAGTCGAGCGCCATTGGAGGGTTGGTCGACGCGTTCCCATCAAACGAGAGCAACGGCACGACACAAAACAGCGCCTCCCGGTTCGGCCATGGGGGTGCACGTCGCGGAAGGTATGCAATGCAATTTTGTAGATCACATGATTTGGACCCTTCAATGATAGCGTCCAGTAGCACAGATCGTGTCTTTTGTGTGTCAATGGTTCTATACACTGGAAAATTGCAGCCGGAGAGACGGCAAGGACACCCATACCGATTGTCAAGGACGGCAGTGAGGAGCTTGAGGAGCGGCGTGATGTGGTCATTGACATTGACCCGGATGTACGCGTGCCTATTGGTGATGTCCCCGGATGTCCTGCATGCACGTCTGAGACTACACATGAAACGGACGAGGATCAAGCCCATGCAGTGTACGTGTTGGTGTGATACTTATAGTCACGGCGTTTAACTCGCCAACTGAATACAACGCTGTAGACTCATGCTGTGATTTGTCGATTGGGGGCCAAGTCTTGCATTCTACTAATCAATCTTATGATCGTGTAACTCCCACCCTGTTTTTGCACTCTCTTCGTTCCAACCCGTTAGGGACGCGCTCGGTCACGAGATTCCGGTCGAGACCTCACCGGGACGGTGGCCCGCACAACCATCCCTTTCGGGGTTGCGCGGCGTCGTCGCGCGGTTGAGCCCCGTCCACATCATTCGTTTCTTCATGGCGGCGACTCTGCACTGTACACTGGGGGGTGGATGTGGGGGTTCGATGAGATTGCGGTCTTGGAACATGATGTGGGCTGTCCTTGGCATCGTTTGGAGGTGTGATAAGTGCAGTAAATCTATGTCACTATAGTCGGTAGACCGCCAACATCCACCGGGCACGGCACACAAGCCTGGAACGAAGCGTCTACCGATGTTGGAGCGGTTCCTTGCGTCGTTCGCCTTGGATGGTTTTGGTTATCAGGCGTTGTCAGAGGTTGGTAGGAGACTTGGTGTGCCTATCCCATGCAAGAGAACCTTCTATTGGTACATGAGTGGGGCGGGGGGGTTGTGGGAGAAGATTATTACGCAGGCAAACAGATGCATGGAGAGGGCGCGAGAGTGCATGCTAGCCAGAAAAGAGGATGGTTATTGGGTTTGTGTTGACGGGAGGTGGGGTCAACCTCGAGAGGCCGAGTGGTGCAGTGTCACATTTATGGATCCCAGAACACGTAAGATCATTCACTGTGTAACACTGCCAAAATCAGATGTTGGGGTTTCGTCGACTGCGCTTGAGGGGCTTGCATTTCAACAGGGCATGAAGGATTTGCAAAGTGGGGGGTTTCCTGTCAAACGTATAATTACTGACGAAGGTTCAAGTTTCAAAGTGGTAATCATTGGCACGGGAATTGAACACCATATGGATGTATGGCACAAAGGTCGATAATTATCACGCAAGTTTGTGAGGTTTTTTGTGGATGCACGTAAGGTTGTTTTACGCACTACGGATGCGAAAACAATAGAGGACGTGTGGTCTGTGAAGGTAGATGATCTCCGGACCTGGTTGAGGGTTCACTTATGCCCTAGTCTAAAAGGAGTGAAGGGGAAAAAAACCAAAGCACGACTTGATTGAGGCAGTATGTCGTGTGCGGAAGATCCGGTTTGTCCATCTGTCTGGGGATGACTCCCCATATCTAGACCCTGATATGCGACGTGTCACGCGTATGCGCTGCAAACGCGACCTAGGTACGACATGTACGACAGCGAGCGAGTCTAGTGCATGTCACGACGAGACTAGCAGAGGCTGGGAGAAGATTTGACGGGTGAGACGGTGGTGGTACCTGTCAAGCAGTCCCAATAACAGTCAAGCCTTGGAAAGGGGGGCGAGGGGGGAGCGGGGACATCTAGCATGTGTGCACCTAAACAGTATGATGGTTTTGTTGCCATCAATATTCTCGAGGATGGCGCTATGGGGACAATGGACGACGCTGTCGGGATAAATATAGAGTACAGCGATGTCGAGGAGGTATGGGGTTATGATCCTAATCCTGATCATGGAGTGCGACCGTGCTCGGCGGCATCGTTGCTTCTCATGCATGCGTCCGCATCGTGCCACACCGATGCGACTCGTGGCATGAGAGCAGCGACGAAAGTGGCGAGCGACGCCATCCCTTCAGGTACGTTGTTGACAGTGGTTCTTTGGCAACTACTAAACCAATGCATCCACCCATTATGATTGAATAATTTCAATATGTTCCCCCCCCCCCCCCCCTCCCCCCCCCCAAGGTGCACATGCTGACGGTCATGCGGGCGGGGTTCGGGGGAAGGACGATACGCCAGAGCAACCTCGTCGGTGGGTCGAAAAGCGGCCACGCAGTGGGAAGAGGAGTGGAGATTCGATGGAAGATGAGGACGGGGAGGATTCGGACGGGGTATTGAATGAGGTTACAGTGGCACAGATGTTTAGCATTCACTTTCATCATGTGGTGACATGGTGTGCTACTCGTTGGAAAGAGAACCGTCCCATGACAGCCGAGGAGGTTGCGGTTGAGATTGGAGTAGCAGCCGATCATTGGGCCGGTGGTCATTCGCGCTGCAGTCGGGGATCTGAGAGATCAAGATGTGTGATAGATCACTGGAGGAAAGACAGCGCACTATACGAGTATGGTTCGCGCACACATATTGCTTTCAAGCAGTGGCTTAGCGATAACTGCGGCCCTAAGATGCGACCATATGTTCATGGGGCTTGCAATTGGATGAATGAATCATTTCATTCATTGATATGCAAGTATGCACCAAAGCGCATACAGTTTCGTGGTAGCATGAGAGCTCGAGTTGGGCTAACGGTAATGCATTGCAACCAGGGTTTGGAAAGGGAGGCACCTGGCAACCAAGATAAGGATAAGCCGTGCTACTCGGTTCCGGCGAGGCAAACGCTCCAGGAACTTAGGCCCGATGGGTTGGAGCTAGGTCGACGACATCATGAGGGACTGGAATTGTATGTCACACGACGTAGCAGAGGAGGGGGGACCTAGGGATACTGCAGTCCCTATTCCATCCATGCCCCAACCACCAACCAAGCGGCAGCGTACCACTCTTGAAAGTCCCACGTCATCTCGACGTACCCTGTTCGGTGAGTTCGCTCGATTGTATGACACTCTGTGCCCTGCCCACATGTTCTTTAGATTTCCTGGCCCTTGTTGAACGTTATACACCAATGGGTGACACCTTACTAATATCCAATCCCAATTCCTTCTCCACGCAGGAAAAGTCTCAAACGTTCGATAAGGACATCCCGCCAGTGGGATGGGGGAGGGGGGGGAGGCGCTGGTGGGAAATAGCTGGGGTGGGATGGGGGAGGTGGGGGAGGCGCTGGTGGGAAATAACTGGGGTGGGAGGGGGAGGGGGGGAGGCGCTGGTGGTGGTGCTGCTGGTAATACTGCCGGTGGTGCTGGTGGGGGTGGGGGTGGTGGTGGTGGTGGTGGTTTGTCTGGTGGGGGTGGGACTGGTGGTGCAGCAGCAGCAGCAGCAGCATCAGCAACTGCATCAGCAACCGCATCAGCAGCCGCATCAGCAACAACATCAGCAACAGTAGTAGTACCAGTCGTCTTCCATGCCTCCGCCGAAGGCTTGGTTGGTCATGGGCCCGCCGCCGCCGAAGCTGCTGCCCAGGCTCGGTGGAGGAGGCGGAGGCCAGGCCACTGGGCAAACAAGTATATGGTGGACAGTGGGAGTGGCGACTGCACTGTCAAGGCCTGGGATCCTAATGCTGACGTGAGTTCGTTGAATTCCTTATCTTATTTATCCAATTTCCATCATTCTCCCTTCCTTCGGCCTCTCTTCCTTTGCCCTGTCATGCTTGCCCTCTGTTCCTTTGCCCTCACTTTCTTTGACCTTTCTTTGGTCATCCCCTCCCTTAGTTCCCTTTCTCCACTTCCCCAAGGAGGGAGAGGGGCAGGGGGAAGACAGGGATGGATAGGGGGAGTGGGTGAGGGGCAGGGGGAAGACAGGGATGGATAGGGGGAGTGGATGAGGGGCAGGAGGAAGACAAGGATGGATAGGAGGAGTGGGTGAGGGGCAGGGGGAAGATAGGGATGGATAGGGGGAGTGGGTGAGGGGCAGGGGGAAGCCTGGGATGGATAGGGGGAGTGGGTGAGGGGCAAGGGGGAGACAGGGATGGATAGGGGGAGTTGGAGAGGGACAGGTGGAAGATAGGGATGGATAGGGGGAGTGGGAGATGGGCAGGGGGAAGACAGGGATGGATAGGGGGAGTGGGTGAGGGGCAGGGGGAAGACAGGGATGGATAGGGGGAGTGGGTGAGGGGCAGGGGGGAGAGGAGGCGACCATGGATGTCCCGGGTTTGGACAGGGTAGTGGATGGATGAACAATCGTGATAGGGATGCGGAAAACACATGGTTGAAATGACCTATGAACACCAGAATTCCTTGTGAGACTAGTGTTCAAACCCTGTTGACCCCTTTCAACCACTCCGATCCTACCCTGATGTCAGTGGGCTACGGTCCAGCAAGTGGTTCACTCTCAATGCTGCCCGTCTGTCCCTCATTCTCCTCACAGGCGCTGGAAGCACCAACCGCAACGACATGCGGGTGGTGCGTAGTGATCACCTGCCCGACATCTGGAGACTGCTGGCTGCTGCAGATGCACCCACTGCCGCTGCTGCTATCCATGATGCCCTTGCTTTGTGCAGTCACCATCTGTCCCAGTCATCACCACATCTACACTTGTTTCTACAAACGGGCAATGCTGCTGCCCTCTCCAAGCACGAAACCCGCGAAAGCGGTGTGGCTGTTTATGGACTAATAGTGACGGCAAAAGAAGCTACTCGCGCCCCCAGGGCAAGGAGCGAACACTTGGATAAAAAAAATGCTAGCCAAGTGCCAGACCTGACTGCACAGATAGGGCTATCTCCGTGATCTTATTATCATTTCTGCAGTGGCCATCCATCTACTTATATGACATAGGAACTAAGAGTATAATTATGAACATATATGACCATTACAGCAAGTCATCAACAATATCCCGTACTCTATAGCTAACAATAAGTAAATTCCAGACTCCTGAGTCTCCTGCTTGACAGTTGTCCTGTGTCTAGCCGCGAATGACTTCATGCTAAAATCAATATCCTCAGGGATGACCCATTCGAGTTTGAACTAGTCCACATCACCTTGACTACAGTGTCTGTAACCCTCGCCCGTTGGCTCAGGGGAAAGCGAGCCTATCACGACGTGGATTAGCCATGGAAAAGTCACACGTGCAAACGAATGATCACCTAACAAGGCAGAGTATTGAATGTAGCAATGAAAACGATGGTTCTTAGCGGTCATAGGTTGACCTTGATCATCCATGTTTTTTCCCAAGCACACCCTCAATATGCTCGCCACACTACATCTCTGACCACTCGAGCTCCCCTCATCCGACAATCTTAGCCAATGTCGAGCCCATTTGTCAAGAACACGATATTTTTTTGCATGATGCTCCTCAAACTCAGATATGGACAAGCCCTCTTTTGCATATTGAACATGTGGGGGCAATCCGTTGGTCGCACAACTCTTCGAGCACGAACCCTTGGAAACGGATGCGTTGTGCTAGCAGCAACCGAACGAATTTGGACGGATATGGCACCCGTACTTGCCGTGGCCATCGACCCCTGCCCACGTCGTCTACCTCTCTCCTCCTCTTCATCCTCGGAACCCTCCTCCCCAACCCTGAATCCAAGTGACAGCCGTTGCCGACGACTACGTCGCCATGATGACATGGCTGATGCGGTGTGTGGTTTAGAGGGTGAGAGGAGGGAATATCAGGCAGAACAACAAGAAGGGAGAGAGAGAGGTTAGGAAGTGAGGGGAAGGGGGGGGGGGGGGGGGGGGGGGGAGTAAGGTTGGCACGAAATTGAGTGGGCTATAAAGGGGAGGGTGGACAGGGCAGGAATTGAACGACAGCAAGGGAAACCAGCCGAGGTAAGGAAGAGCAAGTGAAGAGCAAGGAAGGGATGGAGGGACGGGAATGTAGACAAAGGGCAGGAAGGAGAGTGCACCGTTGATGCAGGAAAGCAGGAAAAGAGGATTAAAGTGAGGATGAAGTGAGGGGCGCTGGTATGGAGAGTAGGAGGAGACTGTAAAGTAGGTTATCAGGATAGGATGGCTGGGGGGTGGGAAGGTAGGGTTGCTGGGAAAGAAGGGGGGAGGACTCACGACCGGAGCAGGGTTCACAGGCGGCTGAGAAGCAAAAGAAGAGAGGGGTGATGAGTTGGCGGGGAAGGGAGAGGAATAGGAGGGGACGGGGGAAGTGCGGATGGGAAGGAGGGGAGTGCAGAATTGGTTTCAAGGCTCCGAGGATGGCAAGGGAGGGATGGCGGATGGGAAGTAAGGGTACTCTGAAACTCAGGACGCGAGGGTGCCGCCACGGAAGAGGGGAGAGGTGGGATGGAAGGGAGTGAGGATGGGTAACCATGAAAGGGGACGGCATGGGAGCTGGAATGGCAGGGACGGCAACTCTGAATAATGAAGGGGGGTTCCCAATATGGGAAGGCAGTGAGGGGGGAAGTGTAAGAACATATGGATATTGGGGAAAAAACGAAGGTGAGATAAACAGGGAGGGAGGGTGACAGTTGAGTGAGGAAAAGGGCATTGAGATGGCAGATAGAGGTTATGGGTGTTACGAATAGTAAAATGTGACAAGACTGTGCACTCCTATCAGTAGCAAGCGAGGAACACAATGAAGAGTACGAAGGCGAAAAGTCGAAGTGAAGCGAAGGGTCAGAAGCAAGTACGGTTAAGCAACATCTGGACCGTCGGAGCAGAAGCATCGGGCAACTGCAGTTGCGAGGATTCTGGCGGGAACAGGTTCGTAACCGTCTGGAGTCGCACGGTTGGATTTCGCTACAATAAGGGAATGTACCCCTTAGAGTACATGGCTAGTCTAGGTCGTTTTGTATTCCCCTGTACTCTTATATAAACGAATGTATTTGCATGTTTTTATAATATCAGTCATTTTATATCCACTCTGACCAAAGGTCAATTCTTCCGCTGCAACACACACACTCTGCGAACCTTCCTAAGGTGATCCTAAGCACGATCAACCCTCTGATCGCAACAATGGGAAGTAATGGTAAGGGGCATGGGAAGCACATGATGAGAGATGGGAAGACATGGAGGGGTGATGGGATCTTGGGGCGAAGATCTCAGTTCACTAACCCTGGAAGGGAGGGGAGTTTTAGACCGTAAAGCAGGTGGGAACGTTGGCAGCGCGGGAGGTTGTCAGAAGTGGCAGACACACAGGCAACAGGAGCTGCTGGCACAGTGGCTACCGGGACAGCGCCCCGGACTACTGGAGTAACTGGCTCACGGGCTACGAGGAGCTACAGGAGCAACGGACCCACGGGCGACAGGCGCAGCAGGCTCTCTGGGCTACCAGGACAGCGCCCCGGACTACAGGTGCTGCGGACGACAAGACGGCAGCCTCCTCTCAGCCTCCCCAAACAGTCCCACCCCCCTGACACACACCCACTGCTGCGCCCCTAGCTCCACTCCCCCTTCACCCCCCTAGCACCACTCCTTTGGCTCCCCACACACACACCCCCCTGAGCGGCAGCTGCAGCAGCGGGAGACGGAGGAGGAGGAGGAGTAGGGGACGGCGCACACAACGGGCACCCCCACAACCGCCACCCCCACACTCCTCACCCCCAAACCCTAAAACGGGTTGCAAGGGGTAGGAGCGCGGGGGACGGCAGGGGGGACGGCTCGCGGCCCCCAGGGCGGCGCGACGGGGCAGCGGGGGGCCGCGCGCGGCTCCCCAGGGCGGCGCGACGGGGCAGCGGGGGGTCGCGCACGGCTCCCCAGGGCAGCGCGACGGGGAATCGGGGGCCGCGCGCGGCTCCCCAGAGCGTCGCGATGTGACGACGCGAACGGGGGGGGGGGACGCGCGGCCCCCGTGGCGCCACGACGGGCGACAGAAGGGGGGGGACGCGCGGCCCCCTAGGCGCCTCGACGGGCGACGGGATGGGGGGGACGCGCGGCCCCCGCGACGCCACGACGGGCGACGGGAGAGGGCGCCACGAATGGCGACGGGATGGCGGGGGGGGCGCGCGCGGATCCACCGTGTAGAAAACCGCCGCGCGCCTCGGGGCGCACGGCGGGCAGAAAACCGCCGCGCGCCCCGAGCGCACGGCGGGATAAAAAACGCCAGAAAAAATTTTCGAGCGCACGGCAGGAAGAAGACGGTGCGCGCCCGAGGCGCGCGAGAAGCAGAACAGCAGCGGAAACAGTTAGGTGGTGGGCCCACCCACAGGATCGACCCAAGGGGGTCGACCTGCTCTGAAACCATGTCAGAAGTAGTAGTAGAAACAAGAATGAAGAAAGGAGGGGTTTCACTAGCAAGCAGTTGGATACATATAGCAAACCCTAATTGGGCTGTACTCACTATGGAGTACCCCACTGCAGGCTAGACAATTATAACATTCTGACAGAGGTTTGCCCCAAATGGGAGAAAAATATTCATAGTGGCCGAGATGGAAAGGTTGGGTGGGCTGGATTGAAGAATGGTAGGGGGATGAGAAGCAAAGGATCTGAAATGGGAAGAATGGGAGGGCAGATGATATGAAAACGCGGGGATATGGGTAGGAATAGCCACAAGTTGTGATGGCATGGGAAGTGAGATGATAATGAAAGGTGAGGGGATCTAATTTGAGGGGGGGGCGTATGAGAGTGCGTCGTCCGTTACGTCCTATTTTCTCTTATATCTATTTTCGATTTCATTTCCTACACCACTTTTCCTATTGGTCTACTTAACTCTTTCTTATTATAGTTTTATGCACCAAAAAGGATGTGTGTGCACCGTTCCTAGAATTATCTCGAGGTATCTCGCGTTATTTTGCGTGCACGTGACTTTGCACTGAATGATCTTATAGCTTCGGAAAGGATATGTTCCTCTGGTTACCTGCTTTGTATCGTGCCTATATATAGTCCCGTGGTTTTACTTAGGATTGATAATAGACATTCGAAGTGAAGTCTCAATCCCGTCACATCATCGTCTGGATCAGTCACTCGTGCAGCGGGCAACTCGGGAATCCGCCGCTGCATTTCCCATTTGAATGGGATTCTTCCGACTGTGAGCTCGTCGAAGGTAGGATCGTTGATTTCTCCTACTTTGAATGAGCTTGGTGTTTCCTCCGGATATGTGAAGAGGCCTTCCCAGCTATGGTAGTCTCGGATGCCTCTTGGAAGAAACGGAAGAGGGTTGTGACGCATCTTGCAAGTTAACACCTTGTTTTTCCCGGCAGGAATTCGTGGGGGCACTTGCAAGGTGCTCGCGACAGCAGAAGGTGGCATCGTGGGACGCGTCTGCTGCGACGGTCCTTGAGGTGCTCTATTGTTCTGCAGGTGAGATTGGGGTCCG